CTACACTCCTCTTCTATATAAGAAGCTAAAATCGGCAAACCCAAATGGTTTTGTGCTTGCCGTTTTTAATAACTACTACCTGGTTTATTCTTTATTTATAATATTTTATATATAGTATCCCCTCCCCCAGACCCCCCTGGAGTAAAAAAAAATGTATAGTATATATACGTATATATAAACCATCGGTAGAAGTTTAATTTGCTGAATAAGGTATGTCGTCATTCTCTAAATATTTTATATGTAAAGTTATATTCCAAGCAAACAATTATAAAAAGTATTTTTAAAAATAGATTACACACTTAGCCAAACAATGTATTTCTATTTTACATGTAAACTAATTACCGCCCTACACTTTACATGTAATCATTTTGCATGTAAAGTTTTAATGTGTAAACTACCAAATGGGCCCTAATTGTCTGGTATTCCTTTTCGGGTTGTATCAAATTAGTTGTCACATTTCCATTTTGGGAATGAAAAACTACACTAAAAGCAGCTACAGTATAAAAAACTATGTGAAAAGCCTATTATCTTAAGTCTTAACTATGAGTGTACTTTGTAAAATTACAGTATACCCATAACATGATCTTAAACTACATGAAAAGTCTATTGTGACCATTCCAATGATACGGAGGGAGTATTATTTTCTTCTCATAAAAAACTATTTTTGTGATTCTTTCATTTGAAACGAGTGAGAATTGAGAAAGACATAGAATAGAAATTGCAATGCAACCTTCAATATTACTAATGAAAGGGTTGTAAAAGGTAAAGAATAGGATAAATCTGTGAATTTCATGATTGCTGGAGATATCTTATGTTAATAATCCTTACTCGTATGATTTATCAATGCATAGTTATATTTTTTATAATTATGTGATGCCCCATGTTTCATTTCCTGTGTGTTCCGATTCCATGCTACTTTGGTAGTTCGAACAAAATACACCAATTTGCTTGACATTAAGCCATTAAGGAATACATGAAATATACTCAACTCTATTTTTTTAAATTTAACCCAAATCATTTCACTCGGATAAATTTGAGTAAATTTTACCTCTGCAAAATTTTCTGACCCTTTTTCTCTATATACCATTGTCTTTTATTTGTACTTCTTGCTTGTCCCAGCTTCTTTTAAAATAATACACATGTATCGCTGGTTATACATATCCTACATTTTTTATCCCCACTCGCCCTTCAAACTTTTTATATTCTCTTTCTCTTTTCATACTCTATTTACTATTGCTAATATAGTATTCTTAAGTTCTATCGTATAAAAAAGCCTAAAAGCTGACTAGCCTAATGGGCTTGGACCCTTGGCTCGCTCTCCTTTAGTTCTTTCAGTAACCTTAAAATACAAACTTTTATTTTCCCGAGTTTACCGCTGATAGTGCATAGAAGATAAGTTTTTGTTACAATATTTAAATATATTTTGTTCAACTGTTCAAGGTAAAATGAGTGACGTGAGTATACTGAATTATCACTGTTTTCCTTTGTGTGACGTATTGTGTATTAAGTATTTTCCACCTTGAGTGTCAGCAGGTGTCACAATGTCTTCTTCGTTCTTTACAGTTCAAGTTAGACAGAATGGAAGCACTCATGTCTCAAACTTACTCAGTTGGAAAGGATGAATTCTTTGAACGATCATATGTATTCGTAGAAGGCTCTCTTGCCACCATAAAGTTGAGTAAAAGTCACCACCCTACTTGGAAATCTTTAAAGCATGGAGAAAGATTGTGGCCTTCTCGTAAAACAAGGTAACTATGGATTTGCATTTGTTCATTTGTTTGTTTGACGCTTCATGGTTTGAGACATCATAGTTGTGGTTGGTTTGTCCATTTGTCCACCCATTCAGTTGCCCAACTTGTTTTGGGGTGAGGCGTGTCAGGTCAGTGTCTCACATTAAAAGTTTATTGAGTTAAAGATTAATCCATAGTATATAATTGTGAGGTAAACATCACATCTACCATGGATTTGAATTTGTTCATTTGTTTGTTTGACGCTTCATGGTTTGAGACATCATAGTTGTGGTTGGTTTGTCCATTTGTACACTTATTCAGTTGCTCAGCCTGTTTCGAGGTGAGACGTGTCAGGTCAGTGTCTCACATTAAAAGTTTATTGAGTTTAAGATTAATCCGTAGTATATAATTGTGAGGTAAACATTACATCTATTGGATTACTTTGTAGCGACTTAGGCGCCATTTAATACTAAGTAATAGGTATCGTTGTTATTTTGAACTGTTAAGTGAATTGATTTGTGCACTATAGCAATCAACTGCAACTGTATGTTTTTGACAGTCCATGGACCAGACGACGTGATACAAGTGTAGTATTTGCTCTGGATACAGGCAGAGTGCCCAGTAATGGTGACAGCGGTGGTCTAGGTGGTACTCGTTTAGGAAGGATAGTGGGTGCAGGAGGTCAACAGTTTCTGGCTAAACTTAATTCGGCTAGGAAAAATTTTCCAGTGAAGATATTTCTGCTTCTCCTAGGTTTCTACACAGCAAATGCATTGGCGACAATCCTAGGACAAACAGGGGATTGGGATGTATTGGTAGCAGCAATTGTTGTTGCTGTGATTGAGGGGATCGGAATGCTAATGTACAGAAAACCTTCGTCTTCTTTTCTTACCGAGAGATTGCAATCTCTGGTAGGGATGGTTAACTATTGGAAAGCAGGTGTTTGCTTGGGCCTTTTTGTAGATGCTTTCAAGTTAGGCAGTTGATTATTCCCCTGTGACATTTTCTTTTTGTAAATGAGCCCTTAAATCATTGTTTGTAACCCTAATCTCTCTCTATCTCTTGTTTGCCTTTCACCAGCAGAGCTTGTATAGAGGAAAGCTTCATACCTTTTACCTCTTTTAACGGTAAACAAAAGAATACTAATTTGAATTAAATTCACCCATGCAGCAAGGAAAAGTTGTTAATCCAGACAGGCGTGGACCCCCCCCCCCCTCCTTCCTTGCTATTTCAAATGTAAAATCAATACTGGGTGGAAACTTGTCAAGTGGCCACTGGCCAGACTTCATAGAGTAGGGTATTTTTTGGTGAGGGGTTTTAGAGGACAGGGAAGGTGAGGGAATTGCTTTCCCTTTTTTTTGGGATTTCCCTTTATATGGGGCGGGGGGCGGGAAGTGGGGGGTGGGGTGGGGGGATGTTTATGTTTTTCATCATCTTCGCTTCATTTTCTCTCTCCAAGTCTCCAGCCCTGTTGAGTTCATTTTTTAAGATGCTAAGGATGTTTTTATTTGGATTGTAATTTGCCCTAGACAAGACTAGATTTGGATAGTTATAAAAATACAAAGAAACCAGACTAGATTAGACCAGATCAGACCAGTAAATTACAGTCCAAGTAAAAACATCCAATATAGCTACGGTTTCTTCTCATCCTCTCCTATCAAACAAAAGAAGCACAAAAGTACTCCACATTTTCCTTTCCCTTTATTAGGGGTGGACATGGTCCCTCAGATTGGTCGGGACTGAGACTAGAAATTAAGATTCCAAGTCGGGGCCGAGACCGGACCAGTGGGGAAGAGGTCCCAATCATGGGCCTCATTTTTTTGGTACTAGGACCAGTTACGAGTGGCCTGGTTCCGGTCTGACCGGCCTAGGAACCGGATCGGACCGCCACTGTGAGGGACCGGTTCTGGGCCTAGGACTGGCCCGGGGGATTGTTGGGGGCGGTTCCAAGCTGCACCTCCTTTAGTACCGGCCGGGCCGGGGCTGGTCCGGGCCTTTTTTTTGTTTTTTCAATTTTTTTGGGTGGTAGACGGATTGGGTGTTTGGGCGGGGGGGATGGAATTAATTAGAAAAGCTAAAAAAAATATAACCCTACCCGAGCTCGGTCCGGCCTGGCCTGTTCCCGGTGGAATCCCAGGCCGGTTCCGGGCCTTTACCCACAAACAAAAAGCCCGGTTTGGACCGGCCCGGAACCGGTCCATGCCTAGGACCAGTCCGGACCAACTCTGGTTTCATTATTTATTTATTTGCCTTTCAGTCATTGAAAATCATTGTGGAAATTACCCGTTTGAACCATTTTAACCTCTGAGATATCATTTATGACCCAGGCAAAAACGGTTTTCATCTTTAAACTTTCTCCTTTTCAATTCTAGTCACCCAGTCTAATTTTAATTTCAAAAATAATCTCCGCCTAGTCTCTCTGAAAAGCGGCCAAAACTGATCTTTTTCAAAACACGATAGGAAGCCAACCGGCCGGCCGTGTCGTGATGGAGCTCTTCAGCGATACGAGTCCAAGGATGGCCGAGAATTTTCATCCCTCTGCACAAAAGTGAAAGGAATCAGGAGTCCGGCAAACTGCTGCAGTTCAAGGGCTTCACGTTCCACCGTGCGATCCCCAATTTCATGTGCCAGAGAGGCGATTTCACAAGGGGAAATGAGACCGGGGGTGAGACGATTTCACAAGGGGAAACGAGACCGGGGGTGAGACGATCTACGGCGTCAAAGTTTGCAGACGAAAACTTCATTCAGAAGCACGCCGGCATCGACATCCTCTCTATGGAGAATTCGGTTGAATTGCTTGATTACAAACATATTTTGATAGATTTTTATTTGGTGGAGATTCTATTCAGATGTTTTAGAAATTAATTTACAATGTTGGTATTAATAGGTTCTGAAACCAATTTTCTGTTTACCTTCAAATGTGCTCTGCAGTTTGAGTATTCAAATAGCGTAGAACTTTAATATGAAGATAAAAATATTTAACTGTGTATTAGGGAGTTCATAGAGAAAACCTTGCAAAAATCTAGAAACTAATAGAAGTATTGCAGAAGATGGACTTTGTGTTCCTGTCAAAATGTCATCAGCAAATGGAGTAAACATGATCATGTTCTGTTCGTTGGATTTATGTAATTTAAGCTTCGTACATTAATCTGCCTTGCTGGCTCTGCAACAGAAGTGATTACAACCTTACAGAGTTACAAGTGTTGCACTTTAACCTTTAGAAGCAGTACAGGTTTGTGTACCTCAATATGTATTGCCATGTTTTGCTAGGGGTTGGCCGATGGGCATCCACAATATGTCTCATCTGAAGGAGCTTGTGGGTTGTACAAGGTGCTGGTTCCTCTATGGAGATGTGGGATTCCATATACGGTGATGCAATTTTCATGCTTTGAGACTATTGTTGAGTTGTACACCCTAACACTCAAAGACAAGTGCAGCAAGCCTTTTCAACTTGGAGTTTGCTTTCCTGGTAGGTACATAGCTTTTCAAAGTGGGGATTCTCGTTGCTTAGGACTTAGGAGATAATCTATTTGCAAAAATCTAGGTGGGATGAATAAGAATAACTTGTTATTGGGATGGTTTTTCATGATTAGTGGTATAATAGCTAAACTAATGTTTTTATGATGAGCATTATTATAATACATATATTGTTCCTACGAATTTTTATAGTCACTAGTTCTGGAAGAGGCTCCCAAACTTTGCTAAACTTTATTTGCCTTCCTTTTAGTGCATCAGTGCATGTATTCAACCCTTGTCAGATTATCTTTAAACTTTTTGCTAATTTGCAAAAAAAAAAAAATGTCATTTGATTTGATGCAGTTATGAATGTGAAAACAGATTGAATTGTATATTTGTCTCATTACGTTTATATGTTTTTGTTGCCTTTTGTTTCTTTTGTATGTTGCTTTATGTTGTATCGTGTTGCTTTCTGTTGTACTGTGTTGTTTTTTTTGTTCGACAGTTAATTATATAGCCATGAAAGCTATTCAAATTGATTCCACTACAAAAGTAATTAAAGAAAGAGCTCCCAAAGTTGAATTTGTGAAGAAGCACAAAGTGAAATATGGCATCATTGTTTTACTGGGAAAGAAGCGCTCAATGGATCGGTTTCCAGTTTTAGTTTTTTTATTCACACCCCATGTAAATGTATATATACTAAAAATCCAATTTAGTGGTACATTATTTATTAATGTTACTCCCTTCGTCCCCTTTTAAATGTCCCTGAGGAGGGTGGCACGGGTTTTAAGAAAAGTGGGTTTGTGTGACACCCCGAAAAAATTAAAATAAAATAAGTAATTTTTATTAGTCAGATAAAATGTTATAAAAGTCACATTTTAATAATTAAATGAATCAGATAAAATTTTAACATGGGTGACATTTTAATCAGATAAAAATGCCTCAATAATAAAAGTGACATTTTAACAATTTCAACTCAAATGATATCATTTGATAATATTTGCACAGAAATAACGAAGTTCACTTTTTAACCCTAACAGTAATGATACGTACATAATTAATACATACTAGTACTAGTAATAATATGCACACCAATGATACTCGTAATACATAAAAAAAAAATAGAGATGGGATGCCATATCCAGGCCACATGCCATGTCCATGTTCATACACCACAATTCTTTTCCTCGTTCACATACATTATTGGTTTTCCCTCCCATCAAATAAATGTGAATAGTAATACGCATACACACTTGCATAATAATACAGATGAACACTGCTATGATATGACAAATACGGAGCAATATTTGACATCTGTGATAATAATAGTAATTCGGATAGCTCAGATGTCTATTCCTTACTCAGCACTCTGTATTATACAGCTTCAGTTACCAGCCAAAGACAAAACAATTAATTCAAATGAATTATTGTAACTATATCTAGAATTATATAGTACGTAGTATATCCTTGCGCCTACATATATAATGCGACGGGCAACTCTGACCAAGCAAACAAAGCGAGCGATCAACTAAATTTATCTGCAAAAATGCTCTGCTACTCTCTTCTTTGAAGTAGGGGTAGTACGCCGGTGTATCCATCACTGCCGGGCAGCCAGGTCGCTTTCCACGACGGAGAAGGAGACACCACCAGAGGTACCACCCGTTTCGACAGCGTCGCCGGAGAACCTGTACAGACTTCTGTCTGCTTTCATACTACGCTCACACCGGAGTGGGACTCGCCGGAGCACAGCTGTACGCCGGGCGGATTTGCTAGTGTCGGACCAGGTCACGGCCACCAAACGTCGCCGTCGAGCCGCCGCCGCTGATGTGCCTCGCCCAGTGCCGAGCTGCTGGAGACACGACTCAGAGAGAAGGTAATTTTCACCGTAACCATACTCCTGTATTGGATTGTGTTTAAATAATACGAATTACAACCAAATGACCAAAAGAGATGCTTTGGTCAAAGCTCATGTAGTTATCTACAAGTAAATCATATCTATACTACCTATATGTCAGTACAGATGGATTGATAAGAATACAGCTGTACACTTGTGAGTAAATGATAATACGTACAAATAGGAAGAATAAACAAATAATGTACTGTATATGGCCATGTTGTGATGACTAATGCATGGCGATGCATGTATGTGCCGAACATTATACATACGTTAATAGACACACGTAGTGTATGCTTACTTTATTTTGTCTTAATTATGCGAAGTCTAAAATAGGGTATCAAGTTGGACCTGGATTTAATTAAACAAGAAGGAAGATAGATGTCTTAACTATCGAACTGGGTCAGATGTCTTAACTATTGAACTGGCTATCTGGACTGGAAATTAATAAACATATTAATAGTAATATAAAACTGGCCGAATAAGATGATGGTGATAAATAAAATCTGACGGAATTTAATAATAATACCTCATAATAAATTGGCTTGGTTGATCAGGTTGCTTAAAGATCGAATTAAATTGGCTAAGGTGGTCCACTGGTCTACAGATTAATATTGAACCAATAAAATCATCCTTTAATATTTTAACACTCGATCAGAATAATTGGATACTGTTTAATCGAAGAAGTAATTGGATGTAAATTGGAATACCGACATATTGGAGCTGTTTCTAATTAAAAACAAAAGAGCTATTCAACTAGTAAATGAATTAAACTACTGATCAATACGTGATAATTAATCGAGTACAACCAACGTAACTAATCTCGTATTGATAGAAATTGAGTAGAGTATAAAAATAAGATTACCTGCTAATTCTAGAATTTAACATTCTAGAAGGTGAATTTGGAGAAGATCAAGGTAGATGCTTCAGTTAGGAATTATCGTGATTTGAGGTAAGTACTATGTCAACCAAGTTTCATACTTTTCCCGTATAAATTTATTTGTGACTAGTTATTTGAGATCTTTGAGTATATGATAGTTAATGAGATTTTACATATCAATTGTGATTGTGAATTATATATATTCGAGATTTGAGTATTTTTATATTGGGTGATATTTTGAGCAATTGAATTTACATATGAATTGTTATTGAATTGAGATTTGAGATTTGAGCTATTCATGAAGTATCCTATATTTTGGACTATTTATGGTATATTTGAGTATGATGAGTTGGAGTTAATAATTTCATTGTGAATAATTTTGTGGAATTTGGATTTCATATCCATTTTGATTTATGTTATGATACTTGAAATTGAGATTGGATTATGATTTTTTGTGAGTACTCGGAGAAATGTGGATTTGGTGAGTGGTAATGACTATAAGTCTAATTCCACCAGGGATCTCCCAAAAGTGGAGCATCCCAGCTTAATTGTAGTAGTCGGTAGAAAAATCCCGACTACTCGGACTTTTTACTACCCGGAGAGCTTGGAATCTCTTTTAGGGGTGTGCACACTTAAGGTAGGGGTTCGGCTTCCATTGGATTTGATTGAGTTTGGATGAATGGATTATATTTGGATTTAATTGGACTTGGATTCCATTGGTATTGAGGTGATTTGGATTATTTGATTGGACTTGATTGAGGTGAATGGAATTACATTATATTGGATTATTTGAGTGAGTTATATTTGTTTGGATTGGATTGAATTTGATGTGGTTGAGATTATTAAATTATTTGTAGATTTCCAAAGTAATACTTTTGGATTTGATTTGATATGATTATGTTGAATATTGATTACGAGTATTTGGAAGTATTGTGAGATAAATATTTGGGTTTTACATATGATTTATGTTTTGGAATATATTTACGAGAATTTTGGTGATTTATATATATTGACATTTTAAAATTATTATGCTATGTGATGAGAAGTTTGTATAAAGTGTTTCATAAGGTTTCCTCCCAAATGGTTTCACAAAATGATATATATGTATCAAACATGATTATTTTACAGGGTTGGGTGGGCCTTACTTAGCATTTCCAGCTAATTTTTGTTTCTTTGTGTTTTTCTTTCTGCACTTTATTCGTGCAGGAATTGAGGATCATGTTGAAGTTGATTTCGAGAGCTTCCGCTAGAACACATAGACTAAAGTAATTGAGTAATTTATTTTAGTATTAATTTTAAAGAATTGTAGTAGAACAGTTAATTATGGAAAATTTAATTTGGTGGTGGTGGATAGCCTGTGCACTCGGTTATGTGAGAACCGAGTGTGGCGGTAACGCCCCTGTTTCCCTTTGAATTTTCCGCTGCAAGACTCTGATGTTTTCGAATAAATCATTATTTACTTTGAATATATCATTATTCAAATGTATTTTTGGGTGGGAAATTTGGGGGTGTTACAAGTTGGTATCAGAGCCCTTTCATTTTTTTTTAAATGGGGGTTTTCAAACATTTTCTGAGATTTTCCTTTTCCTCAAGTGATACCAACAAATTGGTATGACTTGCTGTTTTCGAAAGTGGAATGAATAAAAGTTTTCATTCACTAACTTCGGTTTTCAAAAAAAAAAAGGGAGTTCATAACATTTTATAAGATTTTCTAAAACTCTTTAAGAGATACCAACAAATTGGTATGGAAGCCTATGATTTTCAAACTTCTAATTTTCAAATAAAACTTTCTTTATGTAACTATGATCTTCAAAAAGGCTTTACTTCTAAAAGTGATTGAAATTTTTCCAAAAAGTTTTCTTAATGTTTTTCCTAAAAAAAAAAAAATTATATCAGTCTTCTAAATGTTCTTCAACGGAAAGAAATTTAGGGATAATAAGTCGTATTAAGAAAGAATAAGCAAAAAAAAAAAGTCTAGGATACGGGTGAGAATGTGAGATTTTGGATTTCTACTTTGATGGAGTTTGTGGTTATTTGAATTGTTTGAGTTATACTTATATGAGATATATCATTATTGACTCAGTTGAGAATGAGTTTGGACTTTTAGAGGAACTTACCAAATTATGTGAGTAGTGTGTGTTACTTCGTATTAGTTAATTAAGGTAGTATAAATGTGAATGTCATTGACATACTTTGTGTCTCAAACATTATTCTTTCAAGTAGACAATGAAGTCAACGAGAACCAAAGTAGAAGACAATATCGTCGCACCGACGAATGCGGAGTTGGCTCAAAATATGGTTCAACTCATCCAGACTATCGGGAGCGTGTTAGTGCAGAACCAACACCAACAATGTCTCAAAAACCGCAATGATGTAGCGAAACTTGTAGCGAAGCGCAATCCCCCGTGTTATTTAGGCCAAGAAGATCCTCTTATCCTTGAGGATTGGATTCACACTTTCGACAAACTTTTCGATGCTATAAACTGCCCTGCAGATCAACGAATTAATACGGCCGCGTACTATCTGCGTCAAGAGACGGACAATTGGTGGGCCACGACTGCCCCAACGTTGCGTCAACAACCTGACTTTTCTTGGGAGACGTTCAAGGAGGCAATGCGAAAAAGATTCTACCCAGAGCACGTGAGAGCTGAGAAGTATGAAGAATTTTTACACCTGAAGCAAATAGGCATGACTGTCCAAGAGTATCACGCTAAATTCTTGAATCTCGCACGATTTGCACCCACACTAGTCCCCAATGAAATCGAGAAAACTAACAAGTTTATACGTGGTCTAAACTTCGAGACACAAAAAGCTCTTTGTGTTTCAGAATGCCAAACGTTGAACGATGCCTACAACAAAGCTGGCAAGCACTATCGAGTGCAACAACTCCAGAAGAAAACACTCAAAAGTGCGAGGAAGGGTACCGAAAAAGAAAGCAAACGGGGAGGCAAACGACACAAGCTTATAAATCAGCCATGGGAGACTCGCAATGGTAACAAGATCAACAACCAAGGCCAAGACCAGAAACGTAAGAAGAAGAACCACACCGAGAAGACACACTTCTATTGCTCGAAGTGTGGAAAAGATCACCCTGGAAAATACTGTGATGGAACGCTCGTGCGATGTTTTCATTGTGACAAGCTAGGGCATAGGGTGTTTGAGTGTCATTCAAAGAAAAAGGGAATCCCTCTAGCTCGTGGACTCAATCATCACGGAAAGAATGACAAACGCGATGAAAGAATCTGAATATAGTAAGCGAAATCATAAAAAAAAAATTCTAATTTTCAATATTAATAAATCTATTTGAGAATTATGTATCGTTTCATCTTGATGAATAAATTATTCTCTTGAAAAAGTTAAATGCTTCAGGGACGAAGCATATTTTTAAGCAGGGTAGAATGTGACAATCCTAAATTTAATAAAAAGAATTTAACTAACATGTGACACCTACTAATCGTATTGTATATATTTCCTTAGCTTATGCTTCGGGACGAAGCATGTTTTAAGGAGGGTAGAATGTGACACCCCGAAAAAATTAAAATAAAATAAGTAATTTTTATTAGTCAGATAAAATGTTATAAAAGTCACATTTTAATAATTAAATGAATCAGATAAAATTTTAACATGGGTGACATTTTAATCAGATAAAAATGCCTCAATAATAAAAGTGACATTTTAACAATTTCAACTCAAATGATATCATTTGATAATATTTGCACAGAAATAACGAAGTTCACTTTTTAACCCTAACAGTAATGATACGTACATAATTAATACATACTAGTACTAGTAATAATATGCACACCAATGATACTCGTAATACATAAAAAAAAATAGAGATGGGATGCCATATCCAGGCCACATGCCATGTCCATGTTCATACACCACAATTCTTTTCCTCGTTCACATACATTATTGGTTTTCCCTCCCATCAAATAAATGTGAATAGTAATACGCATACACACTTGCATAATAATACAGATGAACACTGCTATGATATGACAAATACGGAGCAATATTTGACATCTGTGATAATAATAGTAATTCGGATAGCTCAGATGTCTATTCCTTACTCAGCACTCTGTATTATACAGCTTCAGTTACCAGCCAAAGACAAAACAATTAATTCAAATGAATTATTGTAACTATATCTAGAATTATATAGTACGTAGTATATCCTTGCGCCTACATATATAATGCGACGGGCAACTCTGACCAAGCAAACAAAGCGAGCGATCAACTAAATTTATCTGCAAAAATGCTCTGCTACTCTCTTCTTTGAAGTAGGGGTAGTACGCCGGTGTATCCATCACTGCCGGGCAGCCAGGTCGCTTTCCACGACGGAGAAGGAGACACCACCAGAGGTACCACCCGTTTCGACAGCGTCGCCGGAGAACCTGTACAGACTTCTGTCTGCTTTCATACTACGCTCACACCGGAGTGGGACTCGCCGGAGCACAGCTGTACGCCGGGCGGATTTGCTAGTGTCGGACCAGGTCACGGCCACCAAACGTCGCCGTCGAGCCGCCGCCGCTGATGTGCCTCGCCCAGTGCCGAGCTGCTGGAGACACGACTCAGAGAGAAGGTAATTTTCACCGTAACCATACTCCTGTATTGGATTGTGTTTAAATAATACGAATTACAACCAAATGACCAAAAGAGATGCTTTGGTCAAAGCTCATGTAGTTATCTACAAGTAAATCATATCTATACTACCTATATGTCAGTACAGATGGATTGATAAGAATACAGCTGTACACTTGTGAGTAAATGATAATACGTACAAATAGGAAGAATAAACAAATAATGTACTGTATATGGCCATGTTGTGATGACTAATGCATGGCGATGCATGTATGTGCCGAACATTATACATACGTTAATAGACACACGTAGTGTATGCTTACTTTATTTTGTCTTAATTATGCGAAGTCTAAAATAGGGTATCAAGTTGGACCTGGATTTAATTAAACAAGAAGGAAGATAGATGTCTTAACTATCGAACTGGGTCAGATGTCTTAACTATTGAACTGGCTATCTGGACTGGAAATTAATAAACATATTAATAGTAATATAAAACTGGCCGAATAAGATGATGGTGATAAATAAAATCTGACGGAATTTAATAATAATACCTCATAATAAATTGGCTTGGTTGATCAGGTTGCTTAAAGATCGAATTAAATTGGCTAAGGTGGTCCACTGGTCTACAGATTAATATTGAACCAATAAAATCATCCTTTAATATTTTAACACTCGATCAGAATAATTGGATACTGTTTAATCGAAGAAGTAATTGGATGTAAATTGGAATACCGACATATTGGAGCTGTTTCTAATTAAAAACAAAAGAGCTATTCAACTAGTAAATGAATTAAACTACTGATCAATACGTGATAATTAATCGAGTACAACCAACGTAACTAATCTCGTATTGATAGAAATTGAGTAGAGTATAAAAATAAGATTACCTGCTAATTCTAGAATTTAACATTCTAGAAGGTGAATTTGGAGAAGATCAAGGTAGATGCTTCAGTTAGGAATTATCGTGATTTGAGGTAAGTACTATGTCAACCAAGTTTCATACTTTTCCCGTATAAATTTATTTGTGACTAGTTATTTGAGATCTTTGAGTATATGATAGTTAATGAGATTTTACATATCAATTGTGATTGTGAATTATATATATTCGAGATTTGAGTATTTTTATATTGGGTGATATTTTGAGCAATTGAATTTACATATGAATTGTTATTGAATTGAGATTTGAGATTTGAGCTATTCATGAAGTATCCTATATTTTGGACTATTTATGGTATATTTGAGTATGATGAGTTGGAGTTAATAATTTCATTGTGAATAATTTTGTGGAATTTGGATTTCATATCCATTTTGATTTATGTTATGATACTTGAAATTGAGATTGGATTATGATTTTTTGTGAGTACTCGGAGAAATGTGGATTTGGTGAGTGGTAATGACTATAAGTCTAATTCCACCAGGGATCTCCCAAAAGTGGAGCATCCCAGCTTAATTGTAGTAGTCGGTAGAAAAATCCCGACTACTCGGACTTTTTACTACCCGGAGAGCTTGGAATCTCTTTTAGGGGTGTGCACACTTAAGGTAGGAGTTCGGCTTCCATTGGATTTGATTGAGTTTGGATGAATGGATTATATTTGGATTTAATTGGACTTGGATTCCATTGGTATTGAGGTGATTTGGATTATTTGATTGGACTTGATTGAGGTGAATGGAATTACATTATATTGGATTATTTGAGTGAGTTATATTTGTTTGGATTGGATTGAATTTGATGTGGTTGAGATTATTAAATTATTTGTAGATTTCCAAAGTAATACTTTTGGATTTGATTTGATATGATTATGTTGAATATTGATTACGAGTATTTGGAAGTATTGTGAGATAAATATTTGGGTTTTACATATGATTTATGTTTTGGAATATATTTACGAGAATTTTGGTGATTTATATATATTGACATTTTAAAATTATTATGCTATGTGATGAGAAGTTTGTATAAAGTGTTTCATAAGGTTTCCTCCCAAATGGTTTCACAAAATGATATATATGTATCAAACATGATTATTTTACAGGGTTGGGTGGGCCTTACTTAGCATTTCCAGCTAATTTTTGTTTCTTTGTGTTTTTCTTTCTGCACTTTATTCGTGCAGGAATTGAGGATCATGTTGAAGTTGATTTCGAGAGCTTCCGCTAGAACACATAGACTAAAGTAATTGAGTAATTTATTTTAGTATTAATTTTAAAGAATTGTAGTAGAACAGTTAATTATGGAAAATTTAATTTGGTGGTGGTGGATAGCCTGTGCACTCGGTTATGTGAGAACCGAGTGTGGCGGTAACGCCCCTGTTTCCCTTTGAATTTTCCGCTGCAAGACTCTGATGTTTTCGAATAAATCATTATTTACTTTGAATATATCATTATTCAAATGTATTTTTGGGTGGGAAATTTGGGGGTGTTACAAGTTGGTATCAGAGCCCTTTCATTTTTTTTTAAATGGGGGTTTTCAAACATTTTCTGAGATTTTCCTTTTCCTCAAGTGATACCAACAAATTGGTATGACTTGCTGTTTTCGAAAGTGGAATGAATAAAAGTTTTCATTCACTAACTTCGGTTTTCAAAAAAAAAAAGGGAGTTCATAACATTTTATAAGATTTTCTAAAACTCTTTAAGAGATACCAACAAATTGGTATGGAAGCCTATGATTTTCAAACTTCTAATTTTCAAATAAAACTTTCTTTATGTAACTATGATCTTCAAAAAGGCTTTACTTCTAAAAGTGATTGAAATTTTTCCAAAAAGTTTTCTTAATGTTTTTCCTAAAAAAAAAAAAATTATATCAGTCTTCTAAATGTTCTTCAACGGAAAGAAATTTAGGGATAATAAGTCGTATTAAGAAAGAATAAGCAAAAAAAAAAAAGTCTAGGATACGGGTGAGAATGTGAGATTTTGGATTTCTACTTTGATGGAGTTTGTGGTTATTTGAATTGTTTGAGTTATACTTATATGAGATATATCATTATTGACTCAGTTGAGAATGAGTTTGGACTTTTAGAGGAACTTACCAAATTATGTGAGTAGTGTGTGTTACTTCGTATTAGTTAATTAAGGTAGTATAAATGTGAATGTCATTGACATACTTTGTGTCTCAAACATTATTCTTTCAAGTAGACAATGAAGTCAACGAGAACCAAAGTAGAAGACAATATCGTCGCACCGACGAATGCGGAGTTGGCTCAAAATATGGTTCAACTCATCCAGACTATCGGGAGCGTGTTAGTGCAGAACCAACACCAACAATGTCTCAAAAACCGCAATGATGTAGCGAAACTTGTAGCGAAGCGCAATCCCCCGTGTTATTTAGGCCAAGAAGATCCTCTTATCCTTGAGGATTGGATTCACACTTTCGACAAACTTTTCGATGCTATAAACTGCCCTGCAGATCAACGAATTAATACGGCCGCGTACTATCTGCGTCAAGAGACGGACAATTGGTGGGCCACGACTGCCCCAACGTTGCGTCAACAACCTGACTTTTCTTGGGAGACGTTCAAGGAGGCAATGCGAAAAAGATTCTACCCAGAGCACGTGAGAGCTGAGAAGTATGAAGAATTTTTACACCTGAAGCAAATAGGCATGACTGTCCAAGAGTATCACGCTAAATTCTTGAATCTCGCACGATTTGCACCCACACTAGTCCCCAATGAAATCGAGAAAACTAACAAGTTTATACGTGGTCTAAACTTCGAGACACAAAAAGCTCTTTGTGTTTCAGAATGCCAAACGTTGAACGATGCCTACAACAAAGCTGGCAAGCACTATCGAGTGCAACAACTCCAGAAGAAAACACTCAAAAGTGCGAGGAAGGGTACCGAAAAAGAAAGCAAACGGGGAGGCAAACGACACAAGCTTATAAATCAGCCATGGGAGACTCGCAATGGTAACAAGATCAACAACCAAGGCCAAGACCAGAAACGTAAGAAGAAGAACCACACCGAGAAGACACACTTCTATTGCTCGAAGTGTGGAAAAGATCACCCTGGAAAATACTGTGATGGAACGCTCGTGCGATGTTTTCATTGTGACAAGCTAGGGCATAGGGTGTTTGAGTGTCATTCAAAGAAAAAGGGAATCCCTCTAGCTCGTGGACTCAATCATCACGGAAAGAATGACAAACGCGATGAAAGAATCTGAATATAGTAAGCGAAATCATAAAAAAAAAATTCTAATTTTCAATATTAATAAATCTATTTGAGAATTATGTATCGTTTCATCTTGATGAATAAATTATTCTCTTGAAAAAGTTAAATGCTTCAGGGACGAAGCATATTTTTAAGCAGGGTAGAATGTGACAATCCTAAATTTAATAAAAAGAATTTAACTAACATGTGACACCTACTAATCGTATTGTATATATTTCCTTAGCTTATGCTTCGGGACGAAGCATGTTTTAAGGAGGGTAGAATGTGACACCCCGAAAAAATTAAAATAAAATAAGTAATTTTTATTAGTCAGATAAAATGTTATAAAAGTCACATTTTAATAATTAAATGAATCAGATAAAATTTTAACATGGGTGACATTTTAATCAGATAAAAATGCCTCAATAATAAAAGTGACATTTTAACAATTTCAACTCAAATGATATCATTTGATAATATTTGCACAGAAATAACGAAGTTCACTTTTTAACCCTAACAGTAATGATACGTACATAATTAATACATACTAGTACTAGTAATAATATGCACACCAATGATACTCGTAATACATAAAAAAAAAATAGAGATGGGATGCCATATCCAGGCCACATGCCATGTCCATGTTCATACACCACAATTCTTTTCCTCGTTCACATACATTATTGGTTTTCCCTCCCATCAAATAAATGTGAATAGTAATACGCATACACACTTGCATAATAATACAGATGAACACTGCTATGATATGACAAATACGGAGCAATATTTGACATCTGTGATAATAATAGTAATTCGGATAGCTCAGATGTCTATTCCTTACTCAGCACTCTGTATTATACAGCTTCAGTTACCAGCCAAAGACAAAACAATTAATTCAAATGAATTATTGTAACTATATCTAGAATTATATAGTACGTAGTATATCCTTGCGCCTACATATATAATGCGACGGGCAACTCTGACCAAGCAAACAAAGCGAGCGATCAACTAAATTTATCTGCAAAAATGCTCTGCTACTCTCTTCTTTGAAGTAGGGGTAGTACGCCGGTGTATCCATCACTGCCGGGCAGCCAGGTCGCTTTCCACGACGGAGAAGGAGACACCACCAGAGGTACCACCCGTTTCGACAGCGTCGCCGGAGAACCTGTACAGACTTCTGTCTGCTTTCATACTACGCTCACACCGGAGTGGGACTCGCCGGAGCACAGCTGTACGCCGGGCGGATTTGCTAGTGTCGGACCAGGTCACGGCCACCAAACGTCGCCGTCGAGCCGCCGCCGCTGATGTGCCTCGCCCAGTGCCGAGCTGCTGGAGACACGACTCAGAGAGAAGGTAATTTTCACCGTAACCATACTCCTGTATTGGATTGTGTTTAAATAATACGAATTACAACCAAATGACCAAAAGAGATGCTTTGGTCAAAGCTCATGTAGTTATCTACAAGTAAATCATATCTATACTACCTATATGTCAGTACAGATGGATTGATAAGAATACAGCTGTACACTTGTGAGTAAATGATAATACGTACAAATAGGAAGAATAAACAAATAATGTACTGTATATGGCCATGTTGTGATGACTAATGCATGGCGATGCATGTATGTGCCGAACATTATACATACGTTAATAGACACACGTAGTGTATGCTTACTTTATTTTGTCTTAATTATGCGAAGTCTAAAATAGGGTATCAAGTTGGACCTGGATTTAATTAAACAAGAAGGAAGATAGATGTCTTAACTATCGAACTGGGTCAGATGTCTTAACTATTGAACTGGCTATCTGGACTGGAAATTAATAAACATATTAATAGTAATATAAAACTGGCCGAATAAGATGATGGTGATAAATAAAATCTGACGGAATTTAATAATAATACCTCATAATAAATTGGCTTGGTTGATCAGGTTGCTTAAAGATCGAATTAAATTGGCTAAGGTGGTCCACTGGTCTACAGATTAATATTGAACCAATAAAATCATCCTTTAATATTTTAACACTCGATCAGAATAATTGGATACTGTTTAATCGAAGAAGTAATTGGATGTAAATTGGAATACCGACATATTGGAGCTGTTTCTAATTAAAAACAAAAGAGCTATTCAACTAGTAAATGAATTAAACTACTGATCAATACGTGATAATTAATCGAGTACAACCAACGTAACTAATCTCGTATTGATAGAAATTGAGTAGAGTATAAAAATAAGATTACCTGCTAATTCTAGAATTTAACATTCTAGAAGGTGAATTTGGAGAAGATCAAGGTAGATGCTTCAGTTAGGAATTATCGTGATTTGAGGTAAGTACTATGTCAACCAAGTTTCATACTTTTCCCGTATAAATTTATTTGTGACTAGTTATTTGAGATCTTTGAGTATATGATAGTTAATGAGATTTTACATATCAATTGTGATTGTGAATTATATATATTCGAGATTTGAGTATTTTTATATTGGGTGATATTTTGAGCAATTGAATTTACATATGAATTGTTATTGAATTGAGATTTGAGATTTGAGCTATTCATGAAGTATCCTATATTTTGGACTATTTATGGTATATTTGAGTATGATGAGTTGGAGTTAATAATTTCATTGTGAATAATTTTGTGGAATTTGGATTTCATATCCATTTTGATTTATGTTATGATACTTGAAATTGAGATTGGATTATGATTTTTTGTGAGTACTCGGAGAAATGTGGATTTGGTGAGTGGTAATGACTATAAGTCTAATTCCACCAGGGATCTCCCAAAAGTGGAGCATCCCAGCTTAATTGTAGTAGTCGGTAGAAAAATCCCGACTACTCGGACTTTTTACTACCCGGAGAGCTTGGAATCTCTTTTAGGGGTGTGCACACTTAAGGTAGGAGTTCGGCTTCCATTGGATTTGATTGAGTTTGGATGAATGGATTATATTTGGATTTAATTGGACTTGGATTCCATTGGTATTGAGGTGATTTGGATTATTTGATTGGACTTGATTGAGGTGAATGGAATTACATTATATTGGATTATTTGAGTGAGTTATATTTGTTTGGATTGGATTGAATTTGATGTGGTTGAGATTATTAAATTATTTGTAGATTTCCAAAGTAATACTTTTGGATTTGATTTGATATGATTATGTTGAATATTGATTACGAGTATTTGGAAGTATTGTGAGATAAATATTTGGGTTTTACATATGATTTATGTTTTGGAATATATTTACGAGAATTTTGGTGATTTATATATATTGACATTTTAAAATTATTATGCTATGTGATGAGAAGTTTGTATAAAGTGTTTCATAAGGTTTCCTCCCAAATGGTTTCACAAAATGATATATATGTATCAAACATGATTATTTTACAGGGTTGGGTGGGCCTTACTTAGCATTTCCAGCTAATTTTTGTTTCTTTGTGTTTTTCTTTCTGCACTTTATTCGTGCAGGAATTGAGGATCATGTTGAAGTTGATTTCGAGAGCTTCCGCTAGAACACATAGACTAAAGTAATTGAGTAATTTATTTTAGTATTAATTTTAAAGAATTGTAGTAGAACAGTTAATTATGGAAAATTTAATTTGGTGGTGGTGGATAGCCTGTGCACTCGGTTATGTGAGAACCGAGTGTGGCGGTAACGCCCCTGTTTCCCTTTGAATTTTCCGCTGCAAGACTCTGATGTTTTCGAATAAATCATTATTTACTTTGAATATATCATTATTCAAATGTATTTTTGGGTGGGAAATTTGGGGGTGTTACAGTTTGTGTGGTTGATATTAATTGATAAAGAAAGAATAAAGTAAGAATGATTTTGAGCCACACAAACTTTACCAAATAAGGTATGAGACATTTAAATAGGGACATCCCAATATGGTAAAACGGGACATTTAAAAGGGGACGGAGGGAGTATATCATAAGGATAGTTCTCATCTTGAATGTGGGAATGCATATTCAAAACTGTGAAACTTTAATATTGTTGCTCTTTGTTGCATAGTGTCACTTTTTTGTTGCTCTTTTTGTATCATGTTGTTTTTTGTTTTATTATCCTTCTTTTTGTTGCCCATTGTTTATTTATTTGTTTATTATGCATTATTTCACTTTTATTGTTTATTTAGGTTTCTATTCATTTTTATTGAATTGAAAATAAAACACACCTATCTACCTTAATGTTATATTTTAAGAAAATCCACAAGAAACATGAATAAACAATAAAAAACCAAAATTTGCATATATATAAACAAAAAGCAACCTAATGAAACAACATGCAACAAAAACTAACAACAATATGCCCCGATGATAATAATGAATTTCTGAAACTAAAAATATCAATTAACAAAATTCATATTTCTTTTTACAATTTTTAAATTTATTACAAATTTTCTACATTCTATATATTTTATATACATTAATGGTTTGGCATTTTTTATTTTTTGGAATATATCTTTCGAAACCAATTTACAGTTTTTATTGATTTTAATTTTTTCTTTCTTTCTTA